ACTTGCTAGCCTTGTATTATTAAATGACTCACTTCATTCTTATCAACTGAGACCAGGACCAGGTTTCTTACTGAGGGAAAAAAAGTAGTGTTCATACTTGGGTTAAATTTTTTTCTTCTTCATTTCCTTTTTTGGTCTTTCACTGTATCCTATGTGAACCAGTCACCTTAGTCAAGGATCCCTAAGAATATCAGGGATAGACACTTCGTCCTCTTTATATATAGGGTGTTTCTATGCTATGTGAGCATTCTTTTTTTCCTGAGGAGAGGTAATTCCTTCAAAAGAAATATAGCTCATACCTGCTCCCCAATTGAATCTACAGCTGGAGAAAGGCCTAAGTAGAGGAGGGAGGAACAAACAAAAACAGTTAAACAGTGAAAGCGGGCTCAGTGGACAGAAGAAAATTTTAATTGTGTGTACCATCTCCTGCAGAGACCTTTGCTCCTAACTTCAAGAGAGGCTTGGGCTACTGATTTCAGTTAGAAAGTTTTAGAAACAAAGAAGGAGCAGAATTTTAAGTTTTGCTATTGAAGTAAAGTAGCAGAAAGAAGAGGAATAGATAAGACTTTTAGCCCATGTGAGATCACCAGTAGAAACTTGAGACCTTCTGCCAACCTGCTCATGACTTCCTCACCTTTCAGATCTCTCATATTCTACAGTACTTTAAGATTTCTGCTTAACTGAATTTTATTCTCCTGTATCTATGTCACCTCCATTCTCATGCTCACAATCTGGCTCCAGTGGCTGGAATAGCCTTCTTTCAAACCACTTCCTCCCCTTGTTCAAAACACACCACACTCCAAACTCCACGCCCTATCTCTTTTCACAGTGGATTCTCTGCATACTTCACTTAGAACACTTACCATGTTATCTGGAGTGGATCTGTTGCTGTATGTTTTCTTATTTAACTCTGTACCTTGAGTGCAAAATTGTGCAAGACAGAGAGAAAACTGCCCAAGACAGGAATATATATATTTGAAAATAGCTGGCAACTGTGAATAATAAGTAAAACTTTGTTAACATTATAAAAGTCTTTCACAATGGAGCATTAGAATCTTCAACAATCATGGTATATGCTAAGATAAAACAGTACATATTATGGTATTGCAAAAGGTAGCACAATTGGAGTGTTTTAAAGCAAGTGCTTGGGAGCCAGATTTCAAAGTTCATATTCCAGCTCTGCCACTTCCAAGTTGTGTGAATTCAGGTGGGTGACTTAACTTCTCTGTTTCTGTACCTTCATCATTTGTAAAATATAGATGCTATAATGCTTTCCTCATGCAACTGTTATAAGAATTAAAGATGTAAATATAAATAAAGCACTTAGAAAAGGGATTGGTACATAGAAAGAGCTATATAAGTCTTTATTATTATTTTTTATTGTTCTTAAAATTCCCCATCTTAAAGCAGGACCCAACAAAAAGAAAGAAAAGTGAAGGGTGGAGGTCTAATATATTTACACAAGAAAATGCTAAGGGCAATGTGAATTATGATGGCAATATGGGTCATTCATTACTTTAAAAGAGGCTCTCAAAATTATACTTTTATAGAGAACTAACTGATGTTGCCAAAGGGGAGGGAGGTTGGGGAGCTGGGTGTAAAAGGTGAAGGGATTAAGAAATACAGATTGGTAGCTACAAAACAGTCACAGGGATATAAAGTATAGCATAGAGAGTATTGTCAGTAAAGTTGCAAAAACTATGTCTAGTGCCGGGTGGGTACTAGACTAATTGACGGGATCACTGAATAAATTATATAAATGTCTCACCACTATGCTGCACACCTGAAACTAATATAAAATAATATTGAACGTCAACAGTAACTAAAAAAAGACAAATAAATAATTTTTAAAAATTACACTTGGGCCGGCCGAGTGGCTCAGTTGGTTAAGAGCTCCCTCAAGAGTTTGAGCTCTGAGCAACAGCGGTTCGATTCCCGGCCCGAGCTGAGCAGCCGCTGAGCTGCCAACAGGTGGCAGGATGGCTCAGCTTAAAACAAACAAACAAACAAAAAATTACACTTTATAAACTCTTTGCTCTGAGGGTAAACTCACAAGAGAAAAAGGTACATAGCTTCCCTTGACCCCACACCCCACTTTCTCCTTCTATGTCATGTCCAGGCCAAATGTTGTGACCTATCTTTAAATACAAATTATTAGTTAAGTGCAATAAAGATTCTGTTTCAATAACATAAAACCAGACAATTAGAGTTTATTGCTTGCTCATTGGCGTTCTCAATTAAGCAAAGTTTGGGAGTAAGTTTCCAAATCTTGGCCTAAAGCCTTTTGTGGAAACACCTTCATAATCCTTATGTGAATTTATTAGCAAGTATTTATTTGTATAATCTGTAACTTCTAATTCTGAGATATCTGGCCCTTTACACTTCTAGGGACTGACTTAAAAGTATGACAGAATTTCTAGGCTTTTATTATCTAGGCCGAAAGAATAGGAATGGCCAAGGGCAAAGAGGAGGAGGAAGGGAAGGAGGAAGTACAGGAAAACAAAGGAGGGAGGAGATGGGATCATCCTTAAGAAAACGTGCAGCTACCAGACCGGCCAGAACTAGATTTCAGTGACTGAAAGCAGATCCAGGATGTCATCTAGTCCCTCAAAGTGCACTTTAGCTAATTATAATGGATTATAATATTATTAGCATTGCGTTTAGGGAAAAATCTCCACCCCCTCCACCCCCACCCCTGTGCCTCCATGATAGTTCCAACAAGAGCCAAATAAGGACAAAAATCCCTCCTCCTGATGGGAAGGAGTGGTCAGCGAGGACCCACAGAGGAACGCCTATAATGCCACCCTTAAATCTTGAATATTTCGTGCCCTCAGTTTACAATAGAATTAATAAATTCCTAAGCCTCTTGGTTCTTTTGCATAGTTGCTCTTCTCCAGGCCTGCTCGCTCTCCCTTCTTTAGAGTGTACTGTTCCTCGCTAATAAATTCACCTCTTGCTTGGCTTTTTCAGTGCATCCTTGAATTTGTGACAAGAACCCGTTTTCCCGGTAACATTAGTACTTACAGATCTTCCTTCCTTCCTTTTTCTTCTTCCTTTTGAAAAGACTAATAATAGAATATTGCAATCTGGTTAGTTCACCTCAGTCTTCTTCACTGTGAAAACTTTTTCCTTCCAATATAATTAATTCAACAAATATTTAATGATCATCCATTCTGTTAGGGATGTAAGATTCATAAAGGCAGTTTCCATGTCTGTCATGTTGTCGCTATATCTCCAGTGTCAACTATGATTTGCACATAATGGGCACCCAAAAGTATTTGGTATAGAGACATGAATAAAGGTATAATACTGAAGCAGTGGAGTATAGTAGAACCCTGTAAGCTTTAGATCTGAGTTCAAATCCGAGTTTCCCCAATTATCTATGTGATCTACAGCAAGTTACTTAACCAACTCATTTATTTTGTAA